CAGGTGAAGCTAATTAGACCATTTCTAATTACTGTTACTTAGTTTGCATGTTTCTTCTGGTAAGAACTCCACTAGAATTACCCTAAGGCAGAAAGGATTGTTGCACTGTTCTGCCTATTTTCTCTCTCTGTTTTGTATCTCTCCTTTTCCTTCAGGTCAAACTGACCTGCACCATTTTTCCTGGGCTTACTATTGGAAACCTTTTATACCCTTCCTCCCTCTTATATAATAGATTTCCCCTTCCTGTCCATGCTTGTGGCTTAAATCAGTGTTGGTGGGAATGTAAATTGATACAGCCACTATGGAGAACAGTATGGAGGTTCCTTAAAAAACTAAAAATAGAACTACCGTATGACCCAGCAATCCCACTACTGGGCATATACCCTGAGAAAACCATAATTCAAAAAAGGCATGTGCCACTATGTTCATTGCAGCACTATTTACCATAGCCAGGATATGGAAGTGTCCATCAACAGATGAATGGATAAAGAAGATGTGGCACACATATACAATGGAATATTACTCAGCCATAAAAAGAAACAAAATTGAGTTATTTGTTGTGAGGTGGATGGACCTAGAGTCTGTCATACAGAGTGAAGTAAGTCAGAAAGAGAAAAACAAATACCGTATGCTAACACATATGTATGGAATCTAAAAAAAAAAAAAAAGGTCATGAAGAACCTAGGGGCAAGATAGGAATAAAGATGTAGACCTACTAGAGAATGGACTTGAGGATATGGGGAGGGGGAAGGGTAAACTGGGACAAAGTGAGAGAGTGGCATGGACATATATATACTACCAAACGTAAAATAGATAGCTAGTGGGAAGCTGCCACATAGCACAGGGAGATCACTCGGTGCTTTGGATCCACCTAGAGGGGTGGGATAGGGAGGGTGGGAGGAAGGGAGATGCAACAGGGAAGAGATATGAGGATATATGTATATGTATAACTGATTCACTTTGTTATAAAGCAGAAGCTAACACACCATTGTAAAGCAATTATACTCCAATAAAGATGTTAAAAAAAAAAAAAACAGAAGGTCCAGCCAGGCTGGAGAACCACTGATATAAATAGTAGAAGAAACAAACCACAAACAAACAAATCCAATAAACTCTTCTAAATAATTTAGGGAACAAAATGCCATAAACTTAATTATAACCACATGCCTATGACACAAGTGTTTTATTTTCCTTCCCAAGATTTTATACAATATATTTAGAACCTATGACCTTCACCACCATCATCCCTAGTGCACCACACACTTCTAAGGACCATATGAGAAGGTTCGAGTGACCTGGCAACTCTTTGTCTCAACCTCTTTGGTCTTTTCTTCCAAAATGTCATGGCAGCATCCTTCACTTTGTTTCCATTCTCCATCATCGTTGCCCTCGCCACTATCCCTCTCCTCGCCTAGATGAAGCTCTTGCTTCCATTCCACTGACCTCTGCCTATGATGAGGCCAGATGCTATTCTGGCCTCAGCATCTCATCTTCACCCATGAAATTTCCTCTAACCAGTATCATGAGTTGTTATAATGTTAATTACAACTCACCATAACACAACCCCTTCAAAGCTCTCTGCTTAACAGGATTTGTGGAACTGAGTTACATCTCTTCTTCCTAGCCAGAAAGAGACCAAATTTGTGTTGGTTTTTTTCTGTACATTCTAAAAGGATTTTTATTCACTTCCTAGATCTTGTTACTCTTAACTGCTCTTCATCTAAAGTTAACTCCCATCGTTCCTTCCTCCCTCTTTTACCACTTGCAGCATAATTACTCTAATTCCTTCCTTCTCATCACCAGCTCCTAAGTACATCCCAGTTTTGGGGGAATTCTGTTCTCATGAGACGTCACAAACACTACATATGAACGGGGTGGCAAGAAACAACAAACATGCATGTTGTGTGTGTATTGCCTGTGTTCCAGCTTATGCTCTGTTGTCTCATGGACATTTTCACAACACAGTTCAAAGAATTTCAAGAAGTGACAGTGGAGCATTAAATCAAGCCCTTCTGAACACCAAGCCCTGTGTGACAGCACAGGTCACATGCCCTGACCCTCCTAAATTTATTAACATCCATCAGGCTTCATAAACAGATGGGAAGCCTATTAAAAAAAGAAATATTTCCAGAACCTAGCTTCAAAGATTCTCATACAAGTCGTATAAGGTAGCTTCTAGAATCTGTATTTTTGATAAGCTCCCTGAGTGATCATGATGGACTTCCTGGTTTGCAAAACACCACCTCAGAGCAATTCGAAGTCCCTAAAATACTGTTCACCTTCCCAGCACCAGCCCTGGTAGTCAGCTGCTTTTCTTTCCTTATCTACTCTGTCGTCACCACCAGGGTGCTGAGGGGAGGTCCAGATTAGGAGTGGCAGAGGCAACCCTAATAGACCCATGGCTTGCAGATACAATGCTGTCATCTGCTTCATGGTCTGATTTGCTCCCTGGCTCTCCTTATCCCTGCCTCCTAGTGCATCTCCACGTCTACACCCTGGGATGTGTCTGTGGGCAGAAGCATCTATAAACTAGAGTCAGCCTCCTTTCCCAGACCCTCCTTTCCAGGCTCTGGCCATTCCCCACCCCCCAGCTCTGTAAACCAGACTCTTCAGAACCGCCCCCAACTCCTCCCTCTTTCTCAACTCTTCACTCCAAATGGACCAATCCTTTCAAAGTTTCTTTCCAAGTCACACACAAATTCCTCCCCTTTTTTCTGTCCCCTCTGCCACTGCCTTGATCTATTTAGACGTTAATCTTGCCTCTCCTGAGTCACTTAGATGACCTTCCAATGAGGTTCACTACCTGCCTCTGAGTTCTATCTGCACCTCTGCTATGAGAGTCCTCTAAAGGCCATATCTAATGTAATTCTCTCATTCAAAATCCTTTCATGGCTCCTGTAAAAAAAAGAGTCTCCAGTAAAATATTTAAACCATTCACTGCAGTATAAGAGGCCCTTAAGTACATGTCTCTTTCCCGCACATACACTTAACGCCATCCCCACCCAGTTCCCAGAAGCTCCCTAAGGATACCATGTCCTTGCCCCTCCTGGGGTTTTGCAAAGTTATTTCCTCAGCCTCGAACATCCGTCTTCTGCATCCCCCCTTTTCTCACCCACCTAGCAAATTCTTTTGGGTCGTTTTATGGGTTAGCTCAGAAACCAGTTCAAAATCACCTCCTTGTAACTGCCCTAAGCTTCTCCCCATACTGTTACAATGACTGTCCCTGATGCCCTGCTGCTTCTCCTCCACTTCCCATGGCACCTGAGCCAACCCTGTGAGGACTTTGAGGGTAAAGTTGTTTCTGGCATGAAATGGGCTGCCAGGGACTCGGAACAGAGGAATGGCAACAGGTCGGGAAGGAAAGAAGGGTGAGGCTCAGGTAGATCTGCTTTCCCACCACCAGCTCAGTCCACAGAACACCGTCTCCATCCCAACATCCTGAACAATTTGCAAAGACGATTCAGATGCCGCTAAAATCTCTCAAAGAGCCCCATTCGCAGCCACAGGAGGACCCTGCTGTCCCCTTCTCTCCCCCACCCCTTTTCCCGTCTGCACTCCAAAACCTTCCTGAGACATTGCCTCCAGCCTCTAGGGGTGCTTTCTCTCCTTTCTAACTGCCTTCCTGAATGTATGCTTTCCCCTGGGAGTTCTCCCTATTTTAAATTCTCAGCCCAGCTAACCTGCCACAGCACTGCAGGTAGGAAGAAATCACCAGAGAGAGAGAGAGAGATTTGCTGGAAGTTCCCGGCATGCTTAACAACGGCTCTCACATAAGGCGCTTCCAAAATAACCCAGCTCAGGGTTCACAGCAGACCCATGAAAAAGGCAGAGGCAGAGTTCAAGCATCTCTAAGTAATACTTCAGTCTTCTGCTTTCAAGTGCTTTAGGAAACCCACCTCCCTACATTATCTGGAAACGGGAGCCCTGCAGATTTTTTCCTCTCCTTTACCTTTATCAGCCTAACAACCAAGAGAAGCCGAGGAAGCAGACAAGGTATCACCCTTAGAAATGCAGAGGAGTGCTGTACACACCCAAATTTGTCCACATCCAAGGACTCACTTTTGCTTTTTGCCCTGTGATTAAACTTCTTACTTCTATGGGGTCCTTATTCTTCCTCCAAGCAGAAGTCCTTGCCTCAATTCTATGACCAGCGAGCTTCAGTTTTAAGGTCCACAAACACACCTTTGAGAAACAGGGTGATGTATTTTCTCTATGCTGTCCATAGACCTCTCGCCCCATCGAGCTCTAGAAGCTCTGCCTTAACCTATGTGTGTACTGCCCATCTGCAAGTACCCACACCACTGACCATCCCAGACATTCCTAAAGCCACCAAACCTACTTCCAGTATCTTCCCTTAGTGCCCGATGCCAGGACTCTCCCAACCACCTGCCCTTCCCCATGGGTCCCTATGAGCTGCATCCTGAGTGTTCGGGGTTCTGCAACTCGGTGTGATGCATGAATGGCCCTGGACTAGGGCAGGGAGAGGGCAAATAGGGAATGAAGAAAGAGCCAGCCTTGAACTAGTCATGGGGGTGTGGTTGAGAGCTTTTGCAACAGAACAACTGGAACACACTCTGCAACTATAGAAAGAAATCTTCTTTATACTCGCCTCAAACCACAGAGAGAAATTCAAAGCTGATGCTAGGCTATCTCAATCATTTGAATCTCATTCAGTACCAAAGCAGTTTTTTACTCCACTGTGAAGTTCTAATTATGCTGAAGTACATACTTAATTTCATTTAGACAAGAAGGACATTTTAATTCCCACTTTTTAGTTATTGAGCATTCCTCCGGGTTGACCAGAGCCCTCATGCTCAGACAGAGTCTGTGGCTTTGGATAATAATACGCAGTTCCACACACACCTGAGTGCAGATGAGAAGTTACGTGTGGGTTATAACTCACTGTTCGGGTCTGTGACTCAGAGCCAGAGGGTGAAGAAACTGCCTAGCCTCCTGGGTTTCCTCTCAGTGGGCCTTCCCTCTGCCTTTTCTCCTTCCAGGGCTGAGTGGTGATGACTTCCTGGCCGTGGGTCTGCGTAGCGGCCGCGTGGTTTACAGTTACAACCTGGGATCTGGCACAGCAAGTGTCAGCAGCGATCCCCTCGATCTGAGTCATGGGATCCACACGGTCCTTCTGGGGAGGTCCTTCCGAGCAGGCTGGCTGAAGGTAAAGGGTCATCCCTCCATCTGTCCCACAATCTTACTGCATGCTGCTGTATTATCAGATCTGTGCTGAGGGACAGAGGTGAAAGAGCCGGGCCGCCTGCCCCCATGAATTTCACAGACTAGCACACAAAACAGAAGACTAGGGGGTGTTGCAGTTAAGTGGTGTGGGGATAAATTAGAGGATGACTAACATAAACAAGGTGAGAGAGAAGATTCAGGGAATGCTTCTCAAAAGAGGTGACACTGGCATAAATAGCAGTTCAGAAAAAGAAGCATGGCGAGCGTGGGCTTAAGGAACACCAGTAGTTCTTGGTGGTTTTCAGGCGAGGGAAGTGAAAGGTGTGGCTGGAGAAAGACAAGGTCTGTATCATCAAAGGACTTACCTAAATAGTTTAGATTTGCATCTGGAGAGCTGTGGAGAGCTACCAAGAAATTTCAGAAGGGGGCTGGGTGCCGTGGTCAGTTTCCATTTGCTGATAAATGACTGGTGGTCATTTGAGAACGGATATGAGAGGGAGGTAAGGCCAGATGGAGGAGGCCCAACGGGCTGCCAGCTCCTAATCTTTGAAGAACTGTGATGTTGATTGAGATGCAGAACCATGACTGCTAGCTATATCATAGTACAGACACCAGCGAAGAAGCAGAGAATTAAGTGGTAAAGTGTTTATGAGTTCTTCAAAATTCAGGTGTGTGTAAGTTTTCATGCCAAGTTAATGGGAAATAACGGAAGAGTATCTTAACAGTTCACCCTGGGGAATCAATTTCTTTTTTAATAAGCTTTGCATTTTTTTCCTTTTGAAGGTAGATGATCAGCAAAATAAATCCATCATCTCTCCAGGAAAACTGGCTGGTCTCAATGTCTTCAGTCAGTTTTATGTAGGTGGCTACAGTGAATACACTCCAGATCTCCTGCCGAATGGAGCCGATTTTAAAAATGGCTTTCAAGGTAAGACATGGACGGGTTTTACACTATACCTACTTGTCTCAAAATTTGAGAAAAGAAAAAAATTTTTAAAGAGTATATTTCTAGTTCTAAAACCAGCAGTGAGGATTGCTTTCTAATCAGACTTGATCAGTTAGATTTTAATGGAAAACATTCATTCACTGTTTATTAATCACTTAACTGCCTATGTACTAGGTGTTAGGGTGTTTCAGTGAACAAAACTAGGATTCCTGCACTCATGAATTTACATTCCAGTTGGATAAAGGCGGGAACAGACAATAAACACTAAATATAGTAAATAAATAAGTTATATAGTAGTATAAGGTAATAAATTATGTGGGGGGAAAAGGACAAGTAGAGCATGATATGGGGGGTCAGGATTGTGGGTCATTTTTGCCGTACATGGGCCTCTCACTGTTGTGGCCTCTCCCGTTGTGGAGGACAGGCTCTGGACGCGCACGCCCAGCGGCCATGGCTCACGGGTCCAGCCGCTCCGCGGCATGTGGGATCCTCCCGGACCGGGGCACAAACCCGTGTCCCCTGCATCGGCAGGTGGACTCTCAACCACTGCGCCACCAGGGAAGCCCTGTGTGTCATTTTTATATAGGGTGCTTTTTAATATAGAGTAAGTAGGGTAGACCTCATGGAGTCACAGTAAAAATTGAAACTCCATCTAACTTTGGAATGTACTTGATATAAAAGATGATGGACAGATGGCTGCCACCTATCCACACCACGAAGATATGGCCCACGGAGGTCACCAGAGGCCAAGGGGATTAAGAGAAAACACCACACTTGGACAAGCAATCGTATTGCCATAGCCTGTCTCCTGTGTTCAAAAAGGAACATAGACTCAGACCTTCCCTATAAAGCTGATTCATAGTGGAGTTATCACATAAAGGCATGTTTTGAATTGTTATAATAATACATTTGGTGAAAATAAGCTTTTTGGTGGCTCCTAGTCCCAGAATATTTGGCCAGGGGGCTGCTCGTTGTAGTGTCCTAAGCCACTCACCCATGACCAGCCTACTCTCCATCAGGAGCCCAGGTTTAGGGACCAAGATGTGATGCATTTGGGGCACTTGAGTTCTCTGCCTGCCTGGCAACCCCATTCTCCCCACCCCCACTGACTTCTGCCTAAACACAGATGCAGGAGGCCATGTACTTGAAACATGAAAACAACACAGCTAATCCAACATAAGACAAGGTCAGTTTCCAGTAAAACTAGTTCATTCTGCCAAGGCTCTCAAAGAAACTTTTTCTTTGAATATATAATCTGTGCTGATTCTCAGAAGAGTGTCTTAAAGAATAGTTTAAAGCATATTAAGGCTCTATGCTCAATGCTCAACAGTTCTTTCACTGCAGGAGATCATCTGAAGGGCAAAACAAATCAATGAGTTTTTAAAACATTATATTCAAAGAAAAGAATGGGTAAATTTATAAATGTGAAAGAAAGCACATCTTCCACTCAATGAAACAGAGACCTTGTTGGGGGTCATCAAAAACTGTTGTCATTTGTTCCCACACACACTTCTTCTGTAAATATTCTGGATATAATCAAGCATACGAGTGTGGATTCTGGAACCCAACTGTCTGGATATGTGTCCCCTCTGCCACCTACAAGCTCCATGACCCTGGTGAGTCAACCAACCTCCTCGTGACTCACTGTGCCTCAGCTGTAAAATGGGACAATCACAGCACTTCTCTAGTTCCAAGAGTGAGCTAACGGAGAGAGAGCACAGAGCTTAGAGCTCTCAGTATGTTAGCAACGATGATGGTGCCAGCGGTAGGAGGAGACCCAGCTCCAGTCAAACCTTTGCTCCTCTTTCTCTGCCTCACAGACGTGGCTCTGGCTCTAGTCACACTGCCTTCAGATCCAGGCTCTGCCAGGTAGTAGCTGTGTGACTTTTAGCCTGTTATTTATACTCTCTGAGCCTCCATTTTCTCCTCTGTAAAAAAAAACAAACAAAAACCTACCCCATAGGGTGCTTGTAAGTTAATCAATTAAGTAAAATAATTATGTTAAGTGCTTATACCAGAAACCAGTACATGATAAACACAATAAATGTTAGCTATTAGTGGTATTCCATCCTACTGTCAGAGGACTTGAAGCTTTCAAAGTTGTCCAAGTCTAACATTTCCTGGTTTCCTGTTGTCTTGTTTTTTTCCCCTTCAATTAGGAACTTTCCTTCACATCTTGTTAACAAGAACAAAGACTGGCTTTCGTCTCGTCAATACCTGTCATTTTCTCCTTAAGTCTGTTAATGAGCCTACACTCAGCACATACACAGCTGGCCCTTCTTCTGACAGAAATAACTACATTGACAGGTCTGGAAGCATGCCAAGCTTCTTAGGATGAAAATCTTGGGCGGGTGTTCTTGGAATTGCCACTTAATCCACAGTCTTATGGAAACTCCAGGACCTTAGTTTAGCCCTTAATTTTATCATTTGTCTCTTGAACCCTTCCTCAATGTCTGCACCTCCTCCATCATAAACTAGCCTTTATTATGTACTGCAAATTATAGACAAGTAGTACCACCCTATCATCATGACCAGATCACAACTGTACTATAAACCTGATTCCCCAGAGCTGATCTCACTGGCTTTAAAGAGTGATACAAGGTGACTTTAAAATATAGATTTCTGGACCCTGCTTAAGTGAAATCTCTATGATGAGGGTCTAAAAATTTGCATTTCAATGAGCCTCCCCAGATTTGGAAGCCACTATATTAATCAATCATAACAAAGCAAATACAAAGTTTTATGGAAGAATTTAATAATTAGGTTAAGATTATCACATTTGTCTTTAGAATGATGATTAAATCACACACAGTAAAAGAATATCTGACCTAGGCTTTCACATTTCTCTAAACACTCCAGATACATAAATCTAATCCAGAAGTTCTCAGTCTAAAATACAAATTCTTTCTGTTGATCAAGCCCTTTTGCTTTTGTTCTGGAAATGTTTTTAATGAGCCATTATTCTCCCTATAGCCTTTCATGTTCACGAAGAGGTTATTTAACCCTTCTCCAGATTAAAAAATCTACATATGCCAGGCACAGAGGGTCTTACTGTTTTCCTGTCCTAATAAGAGGGATTCTTCCCTCTTCTCTAAAGGCATAGGGTTCTCAGGCTGAGGTTCATGGATAAGATTCAGTGTGTCTCAGTCTCCTGAAATCACACACACAATTGTGTGTGCATTTTTCTGGAGAGGAGAACCATAGCTTTCATCAGTGTTCTAAGATCTGTTACTTTCACCGTCAGACCTATTTAATTCTGATGTAGAATTAAAAATTACTTTTGACTAGTATGAACATGGGGAAATCTATTATCCTATCTATTGATTATTCTAGTGTCACAGCAGCTAGTGTTCATTGATACAGGGATTATTAAACATTACTCAACTGAGTAGTGTGGACATAAAATAGATTCAGATTTACTGACAATGCTGTAAAGGTGTTATTCCAGCCCGAAAATGCCCCATACCATTAGTATATGCAGTTTCTGGCTATTTCAACTTTTCTTTTTCTGTCTCTGTCTGTCTGTCCCTCTCTCTCTCTTTTTTAATTCCATGAGATTTTTCAAACTAGAGCCCATAAGAGAAGAGTAATGAGTTCACTGCAATAATTTACAAATTCTCTTACTGTCAGAAAAAAAAGCTATCACTTCTTTTGAACTTCACCAGTCTTTCCAATATCATAGCTCCAAAAGTCTTTTTCATACCCACTTTATCACATGCAAGATATAGGCATGGGATACCTGGTGCATGGTACTATACTAAGCAGATTACGTTTAATCTGCTGTATAAATAGGAATGAAATTATACAATATATATTCTACAAATGGCTTCCACTGTAATTGCCTTTACTCTGTATCTTATGTTGACTGACATGAAGCATCTCTCTATGAAATAAACACATATAACTATTAGTGTTAGCCAAATGTTTCTCTAAATATAGCAATGCTACATTTTTAGCCAAAAACATATTTTAGCAGTTCCTCATAACAAAAGTGTTTTATTTATTCATATAAAAGAGAAATTGTTTTAAATGAACACTTCAGACATTAATACATATTACAGTCATTTAAACAAAGCTTTTTTCAGAGTGTGATTATAAAAACTACAAAAACTTAATATTCGCATCCCACAATCTTTGCTGAAAGGAAATGTTTTTTAATAAAGGAAATAGTGAATTTGTGAGAGTGTGGAAGGGAATACAAGACCTACATATTGCCAGCATTATACCACGAGTTCATGTATATTTTCTTACTCCTCTTAACTCATGGAGTAGTTATATTTGTCCTCATTTTAAAGGTGGAAAAATTGACAGTTAGATTTGGGTCATCTAGCCATTATGTGACAGAGATTGTAATTGAACCCAGAGCCACCTGACTCCATCCTCTACCTACATTTTTGCTCTGAGTGCATTTCACTCTGCAAAAAGCAAATTTTACATTCCACATATAAGTAAGATCATACATTATATGTGTGGAAAAGAACTTTCTAAGGATACGTACAAAGGTAAATCCCTGAGAGAAAAAAAGAGAAATGTGACAACATAAGTATTATAAACTTCTCCACATAAAAATAAAAAAGAAAACACCATAAGCAAAATTAAATAGCAAATATTAAACTGGAGTAAGTATTTACAATATGTGACAAACAGCTAATGTGCTCATTATATAAAAAGGTCTTTCAAATAAGTGTTTAACAGGGTATAGACAAAAGGTAGATAGAGAAAAACAGTAAATAATAAGCAACTTAAAGGGAAAATTATAAATGACAAATCATTGAAAGGCTTTCAACCCTAATTAAAAATAGCAAAAGGAGGGGACTTTCAAGATGGCATAGGAGTAAGATATGGAGATCACCTTCCTCCCCACAAATACATCAGAAAAAATATCTACATGTGAAACAACTCTTACAGAAGACCTACTGAATGCTGGCAGAAGACCTCAGACTTTCCAAAAGCCAAGAAACTCCCCATGTACCTGGGTATGG